AAGTTTGCTTTTCTCCACATTAAATTTCATGTTGTTGGATAGGCCCATTGTTCAAGTCTGTCACATATATACTGTCAAGTGTATACAGAAAACATGAGGAATATGTAATTTTACAAATGTTGCTAAACTACAGCTCTCAGAAGGGTCTAGCCATTAAAACTACTGGCAAGGGTTACTGGCACTAGTCATTTTGGACAGCTGAAAGACCATAGATTGCCATATTTGGTGCCTAGAACTATAGTGAGAATCTAGTTATGCTGTTATCATTAATGGTACGTGGCTTAATACAGTCTATATAATCATTTCCTAGAGATACTGGATTTCCTGCAGCAAGTAGAGGGTTACAAATGTATTAACTTTGGAGCTAATTTCCAAGTCTGTAATTCTATACATTTTGATAAGACAGATACAATACAGAGAGAAAGTAGGGGAGGGAGATGCACAGAAATCTACACTGATGAACCGTACTTCAGCAGCACAGTAAGGAGACTCATTTACCCCTTAGAATAGATGATCATTGACAAAAGCAATAACAAAAATTGCCTCTAGTTTCTTTCTTTCTTTCTTTCTTTCTTTCTTTCTTTCTTTCTTTCTTTCTTTCTTTCTTTCTTTCTTTCTTTCTTTCTTTCTTTCTTTCCACAGAAGTGTGGAGGTGGTTGTAAATCAAAGGCCTGAAGCCATGATCCCCAATGAATGAAGAAGTTATGGCCTCAGAAACAAATTCAAGAAAAGAGATTACACCATAATTTTACAGATAATGCCTTATTTGGGGAATTTAATGCAGAACAAGCACACTGTCTGTAGACTTAGCTGAACAGCTGTGCAAGTCACAAATGATAGTAAAACCAGGAGTTGAGTTTACATAACTATATGTATTTCTCTAAGCAGAAATACAAATTATGACAAATTAATGGGGATTGTGACATTTTCTGCTCTTGTAAATCAACTCTGAATCTGAAAACCTCCCTTTCCCCAAAGTACTAATAAATAAGAGTATACAGGAGATCTCATGCAAAGTAACCACATGCTTATAATTTTCCAGTTTGTAGATCCACTGTGTAACATTTCCTGTTTATATTGTTTCTTTAAAGTTTGCAAAGTAGATAACTTTCCAATTTCACTAATTAACTGGAGGGTTTTTTTTTTTAAATAAAATGATATTTCTATATTAGGTTTCATAGAAAATTATGGTTCCAAAACTTCTTCCCCAGGTATGTAGTATAGTTACAATGTATAATATTTAATAAATAAATATGTAAATGGACAATACATAGTAAATCCAGATAATAAGGATCCACAAATAGGGATTGTTTTTCAGTCCGTGTCACTGGGCTGTACCAATCTGTGGCCAATAGATTAGCTCTGTCTAAACCAGGGGTAGGCAACCTTGGCTCTTTTATGACTTATGGACTTCAACTCCCAAAATTCCTGAGCCAGCCAGGAAGTCCACAAGTCATAAAAGAGCCACGGTTGCCTACCCTGGTCTAAACCAAGCCATAAGCTGAGTTGACCACCATGTCGAAAAATTACCTTCAAGAATTGTTCCAGTTAATTTCATATCTCCCTTTGAGAAATAGAGAGCTGATAAACCCAGACAATGAAATCCTGAGATTGAGGTAAGAAGCTGACTAAATTTGCTGGGTGGAGTCCTGGGATGTTATTGGCCCACATGATAAAAGGACCCTGCCAGTGAAAATTCTTGTAACTGTTTTGCTATCTCTAGTCTAGATCTTTACATAACAATCTTCTGAGTTAACCGAAAGAAATATGTGGAAGATAAATAATCTTCCTCATTAATAACACATACACATTCAAGTGAAAGAGGGCCGTAATGAATGATTGTGTGGGGCTGGGGACTGGCGGTGGGCTTAATGTCTCCCTTTCTCAATTTACCAGTAAGAAAACTATTGGTGCTAAAAAGGGCTTCATTTCAACATACTTTCTCTCCCCCCCCCGACCCCGTATCATTCAATATATAAATCTGCTTTAATAAAATTTTTTTCATTTGCCACGCAATGCAATACAGAAAGTGTAGCCAAGTAAGCTTTCCCCTTCAAAAAATAGTTTGTATCCTTTTAGGATCAGACAACCTTTTCTTTAAAAAGTAAAACAAAATAAAACCATTCCATATATATACAAATGTTGGTTATAGTCTTTATCTTCTTTTCAAGGGTAGAACTCAGTACAACTTCTTTCAATTGGAAAAGGGTTTTTTTTTGGTTCCGCCTAATGTTAAACAGGCCTGTTATAGTATCTGCCTAAAGACATAGAAAAGATAGATTGCAATATTCCCCTACTCACAATCAAAAGACTGCAGTGTTTATTTGTTTTGGCTCTGGAGTTGAAAAAAGTGGTGGTGATGGGCAACAGAATAATTTCTTCATCCCCAGTTCAATTATGCAAATATCCTTCTTGTTTACTATCATTTACTGACATCCTTTCCAGGATTCTCCTTTGCTTCCGTTTCAGGTGCACAGATAATATTCTGGGTTGTTTCTTCTTAGATCACAGTGCTGTGTGATCATTTGACATCACTGATGTGCAGGGCTTTTTTTCTCGGAGAAAAGGTGGCGGAACTCAAACCTGGCCACGCCCTCATCAAACCCTAGGACCGCCCCTTTAGAGAACAGGAATGCAAGTAAAATTTGGGAGGGGCTATTTCCGGTGCGGCCGGCCCGGAAAAAGGTGCCGGAACGCGGTTCCGCCGCGTTCCGGCTGAAAAAAAGCCCTGCTGATGTGTGACTGACATCATTAATAACAAGTAACACAAATCTGACATCACTACTTGCAAACAAAGCAATTTTCATCAGCACTTTCCTGGAATTAGCTCTTTTGTCAAAAAGGTTCACAACCAAAATCAGCTTTTCTTTTCAGCTCAGCGTTATGGAACAAGAATGATTCTGTCAAATAGTGTTTGATTTCAGTATTGATATTGATATCATATTTGAAGTACAAGTTGTTCTCAACCACAATTGGGACTAGAATTTCCATTGCTAAGCAAGGCAGTTGTTAAGTAAGTTGTTAAGTAAGTTGCACCTGATTTTACAACGTTTTTTTTGCCATGGCTGTTAATTGAAACACTTCAGTTGTTAAGTGAATCATGTGGTCGTTAAGCAAATCTGGCTTCCCCCATTAACTTTGCTTGTCAGAAGCCCCCTAGGAAGGTTGCAAATGACAATTCGAGGGCCCCAGGACACTGCAACCATTGTGTTCACATGCTGGTTGCCAGGCACCTAAAGTTTGATCTGTGACTTTGGGGATGCTGCAATGGCCATAAGTGTGAGAACTGGTCATAAGACACTTTCTTAAATGCTCTTGTCATTTTGAAAGGTCATAAAATGAATGGCTGTAAGCCAAGGATTACCTGCTTGGCAACCTTTGAGCACTTGGTCAGCACCAGTTTGGCCATACCTGCAAGCCCAACCTTCCCTTAGTTTTATAGACTGGAAAAGAAGAAATGTAGCTCTGATCAGGGTATTATTAGACCAACCCCAATCCTGAGCAAAGGTTTTCTCTTTCAGCCTGGTGCCCTCTCCCCCTGGAAGATCACGGTACTTTTTAAAAAAATATTTGTTTGAGTATCTGGCATCCTAGAGCAGTTGTTTCTCAATTTTGGCAGTTTTAAAATGTGTGGACTTCAAGAATTTCAGAACTCTGGTTGGAAGTCTGCACATCTTGAAGTTGCCAAGATTGACAAACACGGTCCAAGATGTTTGGTGTAGGCACAGCAGCTCAGATCCAAAGACGATTCCTAACTCCTTTAAAAATGTTCAAGCAAAATTGCCTTGCTGGTAATTACAATTAAAGTGGGATGAAATCCCAGGCAGCTTGATTGGTGCAGCTCTTCAGTTGGAGCATGGAGTGGAATCAAACGTGCAGATTGCTTCCACAGGTTACCATGATAAGACACAGATAGTCCTCGACTTACAACCATTCATTTAGTGACCATTCAAAGTTGCAACGGCAATGAAAAAAAGTGACTTATGACCATTTTTCACACTTATGACCATTGCAGCATCCCCATGATCACGTGATCAAAATTCAGATGCTTGGCAACTGACATGTGTTTATGACGGTTGCAGTGTCCCAGGGTCATGTGATCTCCTTCTGACAAGCAAAGCCAATGGGGAAGCCAGATTCACTTAACAACCATGTTATTAAGTAAACAACTGCAGTGACTGACTTAACAACTGTGGCAAGAAAAGTTGTAAAACGGGGCAAAACTCACTTAACAACTGGCTTGCTTAGAAACGGAAATTTGGGGCTCAGTTGCGGTTGTAAGTCGACAACTACTCCATAAAGGGCTACAACAGATTAAAAAGATCCCCCCCCCCAAGAAGGCCTGAGGGGTTCCTGGCTGGTTCCGTTTAAAATAAGAGAACTCGGGCCCATTCCCAGAGCTGACTCCTGTCTGTTGTGTTCCTACGACCTAACGCAGGGGTAGGCAACCTGGGCTCTTTTATGACTCGTGGACTTCAACTCCCAGAATTCCTGAGCCAGCATAGCTGGCTCAGGAATTCTGGGAGTTGAAGTCCACAAGTCATAAAAGAGCCAAGGTTGCCTACCCCTGACCTAATGTGTTAGCAGTGCTCATCTGTCTTGTGCAGACGGGTGTACTTCTAGTTTTCACAAGAAAACGCGTGGGTTGGGAGTTTGGAAAAGGGTAGAGAGGACTTTCGACCGCCCCGGTTGGCACCCTCGTCAGAGGCCCGGCTGGTTCGGCGACCCAGCGTCCCAACTCCGCCTAACGCCAACTCTACTATTCCCCTTCTGGGCGGGAGGCGTGACCGCAACCAAGGAAGGGGTGTGTCCGGGGAGGCGTGGCGAGGAGCGGGGGGCGTGTCCCCGCCCGGGCTCTGGCCTCTCGCGCTGGGGACGCCGCGCCGCAGACGGCCGGAGGGAGCTGCGGCGGGCTGGGCTGGGCTGGGCTGGGCGCGCTGCTGCTGCTGGCCGTGGGCGGGCGGGCGCTTTGCTCCGGGGCAGCCGCTCGCTCGCTCGCTATGAATGCTGCCCGGGCTCTGCTCTCCGCCGTGTTCCTCGCGGGTTTCTTCTGGGGGGACCTTCCCTGTTGCCAGCAGGCCACCATCCCCGCCGCCGCCGCGCCGTCTCTGCGGGAGTCCGGCAAGGGCAAGCGGAGCTGCCGGGAAGGCGGAGCGTCCCGATCGGCTGGCGACGCGGCCCCGAAGGCACCGGCCGCAGCCCAGCCGCGCGTGGAGCCCCACGAGTACATGCTCTCCCTCTACCGGACCTACTCCATCGCCGAGAAACTGGGCATCAACGCCAGCTTCTTCCAGGCCTCCAAAGCAGCCAACACCATCACCAGCTTTGTGGACAGGGGGCGAGGTAAGCGGCTCAGCCCCGCGGCCGGGATTCTTCTCGCCTGGGCTTTCCCCCCCCTCCACACACACACACACACACACACACACAACCCTGTCCATCCAGGCGGTCGGTCCGCGGTCTCTCCCCCACTTCCCGCCGGTCTACGGTACTGTACTTGGGCGCGCTCCAGGGCGCTTCCAGGCGTCGCGTCCGCCGGCCCCTCTGCCAAAGAACCGACAGGTCCCCTGGCCCGACCGCGGGCTTTTACGCCCCGCCACCCGGCAGGTTCTTTTCCTTCCCCGGGCTGGGCCACGGCTAACATCGCTCCCAGTGTGCTCCCCGACCTTTTGGGGATGGGGTGGGAGTGCAACGGCACCCCTGTACTTCTTAGCCAACAGAGGCTAAGCTGGCTGAGAGCGATGGGATCGTAGCTTAACGCGAATTGGGGAAACCTCTGTTCGGGGTGTGTTTGTGCGCAACGTTGGTATTAGCTGGGTCTCCCGGTTTGGGAGTAAGCTTTAGGATTCCTTGGGAGCCACTTGTGCACCAGCAATGGGGCTCCCCGATTAAGAGCACATTCGTTTCGGAATAAGCACCTACGCGATGGGCTCTGGCGATTGGTCCTAAAAAGAGTCAGCGCCTTCTGGGCTGACTTGTTCAGGATTGAGGCAACAAAACAAAACAAAACCAGCGCTAGGTTTCTTACAGGTGGATGCTTCATCTGGCACGAGCGCGCACCTTCCTGCCCTGCGTCCTTATTTTCACTAAGCCTGCTGGCACGTTCACTTAATAGCAGCAGCAGTAGTAATGGTAGTTACAATAGTAGTAGCAGCAGCAGTAGTAATGGTAGTAATGCCGTTGTAGTGGCAGTAGTAGTAATACAATTGTTTCCACTGGCTTGCTCGATCTAGAGGAGCGGGAGATGCTTTTGAGTTACCGCGAAAGCCGCGGAAGGGTCCCGGTTCCCGATCTGCTTTCTTCGTTGTCTAGTAGTCCCAATCCTGACGCCCACCCCTTCCTTCCCTATTCACTTTGGTAAGAGACTAGCCTCTCTTTGCACCGCGGGGACTGAATTCGACTTCGGCCCTTCCGACTTTGAAGGTTACGCCCAAGCAGGAAGAAGGAGTTGAAAAGCGCTTCTTTTTGGACGATTTTGCGCGTCCCGGATTTTTTCGGGATGGATGAATAGTTGGGGAATTCTTTCTTTCTTTCTTTCTTTCTTTCTTTCTTTCTTTCTTTCTTTCTTTCTTTCTTTCTTTCTTTCTTTCTTTCTTTCTTTCTTTCTTTCTCTCTTCTCTCTTTTCTCTTTTCTCTTCTTTAATTGCGGAGATCAGACGCAGTTTCCGAGATTCCAATCTGAGGACGGGAAGTCTGGGCAGACCAAACCAAAATTTGGGATTGCGTATAGAGCGCTTGACTTGCGGCTTCCCTTATTTTTTCGTGCATTATCGTCTGATTTCTCCTTCGTAGGGAATAGAGATTTCTGCTCAGAAACCTCTGGCGATCCTTTGGGGATCCAGTCTGCGTCGCTTAGCTGTGCCAACTATCAATTATCTGTTAATTAAACGGCTGTCCCACGGAGTTAAGAATTCCGGAATCCTTTCCCCCCTACCATCACCTTTTCTTACCTCTCACCCATCCTTCCCGTTCTGATCGATGTCCTCCAGACCTGTAGCGAGATCCAGGATGAGATCCGTGAGCTGTCCTGGAGGCTGAATAAATAAAAGAAAACCCAGCGCTCTAGTTCCAAAATACCAACTCATTTAAGTTTTTGTGAATCATTGGGTCTCGGCCTAAAAAAGAAGAAGGTATCCTATAATGGGGGGGGGGGGCTTTGAAACAACGCCTAAACCATGGAAGGGGGGGGAGAGAGATGAATTCCTCTTCCTTTGAGACGAGGCATGGATACTCTCATTTGCTATTTTTGCTTCTCCGCGTCATTTATGGGGTCAAGCAATAGTCATTGCTACTACTTCCCCATATCATTAATTTTACACCACTTTGTGGTGCCCATAATGCTAACCACGCAGCTCCAAAATTCGATTGCAGTAATCCGGGAGATTTTCAGGAAGAATCAATGTAATTAGTTTGTCCACCGGAGGCCTCGGTGTACCCCAAAAGGACTTGGGTAGTGGACTCGAATTTCATCTCCTTGAAGATCCTTAAGACAACTTTGTTCGGGGAAGAAAATAGGGACCTTGGAAGAGTTGGTTTTATCCTCCTTCTGGGAAAGAGTTAAGCGCTCCTGGCGGGTGCCAGCATTCTCATATATATTTTTTTCTGGCAAACCTCGGACTTGGTGGCGGTGCCCATCCGTGGCATTTTAGGAATGGATTTAGCACGGACATATTTTTTGCAGGACTTCATAGGAAGGCTTTTAAAACCGAGATGCTGCGCTCAGAGCCTCCTCGGCTGGAATGAACCGAGAAAGAAAGCGCGCCGGTTCTCTAGATTGGACCCTGCCCTGGAAAACCTCGCCGCTCTCTTGCTTTAATCACTGATAATTTCATTTTTTTTCAGCAAGAAAAAAAAAAAGAGTTGCCTCGCCTCTCCCTCTAGACTAGAACATACGAACGTCTTTTAATTTTGTACGCTTGCTTTCATTCTTTCTTGCCCAAACCGCGCCGTTCCCAATGTCCCTTTTGGTGCTTAAAACAAGAGGGTTCCTCCGGATCTTCAGGACTAGGAAATTTGGGGAATGGGGGTGGGTGGGGGGGTGGTCAGGAAAAGAGAGGGAAGGAGGGAAGGCGTCGCGCCCAAGCCTCCTGGTTGGACGGAGGGAAAAGCCTCCTCCCGCCTCCTGATTTTGATTTGATGTGTCAAGGCTGTGACCTGGGCGCTGGAACTTCTGAGCATTAGGTCCCTGACTGGAGTGGTTCAGCTCCGCGATCTAATAGACCGCTGCTGTCATAACAGATCAAATAGTGTCTGGTCTCTCCTAATGAAGGGGGAGCTGCCAGCAGCCCCGGACCAGTCCGACCAAGACTCCAGCCCCTCCAAAGCCGAAGCAGCCCTCCGCCCCCAGACCCTTCCTCCCCCCCCCCAACCCTTCCTCTTCTTTTCTGTTTTTAAAGCTCATCTCCCTCCAGGCTAGCCGCCTTAGTTCTCCCTTTCGGCTGCTAATTGTTGAGACTGTTTATATTGCCCATGCTATTAAAAAAAAAAACAAAAAAACGGCTCTTAAAGGTTTGCTACTTGGAGCCCGTCCGGCCTTCCAGCTTCCTGCAAATTCTCCAGCATGCCTCCCTTGGAGCTGCAGGGAAACCAGTGCAGGGAAAGGCTGAAGTGTCGCTTCAAGAGACGAAGGAAGGCAAACTCGAGATCCGGTGTCGGGTCGGTCCTGCTTTTGGCAGGCGCTCCCGGGAGAGACAGCAACAAAAGCAGGGTCGGTTTTATTATTATTTTTTTTTTTCAAAAGCGTCTTTCCGCGCTTCCCCGAACTTTTTCGAATGTAAAAGGCGGTTTTGTGATTAACAATATTGGTTAAATCACGACGCCACGATTAAAAGCATAGTGCTTATTGCCTCGGCAGGTGGCGGCACCTGGCTGCGCTGGGGTGCTAAACAGGAGCAGATTGAGTTAGTAGGTGGATAGGAGACCACTAAGTAATCCTGGGGCTCTGGCTAAGGTGGGAAGGCTGTCTGCGCACACGAGTCAAAGACGCCGGCAAAGAAAACGAGCCAGATTTGCCAGCCCCATCCAAACAAGCCTTTATTTTTCAACACCTCTCTGGCTTGTCAGTCCATTGCCTCCTCCGCCCTTCGTCTCCGCTGGAGACCACGAAGGACTAGCCCAGGGGTAGGCAACCTTGGCTCTTTTATGACTCATGGACTTCAACTCCCAGAATTCCTGAGCCAGCTATGCTGGCTCAGGAATTCTGGGAGTTGAAGTCCATGAGTCATAAAAGAGCCAAGGTTGCCTACCCCTGGACTAGCCAGAAGTGCAGCGCCCGCAGATCAGTGGGCCGGTTACTTAGCCAGTTGCCCTCCAGCCACCTTTCTTGGTAGGGTTATTTCCGAGACGTCCTGTCCGGTGCTAACCCCTTGGCGCAACCCAGGACAGGGCAGGGAGGCGGGGTACCGACAGGCAACCTTCAAGCGAGTCCTAGTCTCCCTTTCGAAACGATCCTATCCAGAGGACTTTCCGGAAACCTCTTTTAGGGTCCCTAGAACCTAGGGGGATGAAACCGCGTGGAGGCTTGATCTCTGCCAAGAAACGGAGCTAAGGGCGGAGAGCTTTGGGGTGCCCCGAAGATCGGATCCTCCTTGGTCACTGCAGTTGCCTCGTCGACACCCTGCCTTCGTCCTTCTAAAAAAAAAAAAAAAAATCGGCTTGAAGGACCGCAGTCCCCAGATTCTCTAATCCCGCTCAATCCAAAGGGCTCTATCTCAGTGATGGCGAACCATTTATTTATTTATTTATTTATTTATTTATTTATTTGATTGATTGATTGATTGATTGATTGATTGATTGATTGATTGATTGATTGATTGATATACCGCCCTTCTCCCATTGCGGGACTCAGGGCGGTGAACAGGCACATTAGTAAAACAGCAATAGCATAATATTTAAAAATATTCAAAACTAATTAAATTATTTGTCCTGTCCTAAAACCCACTATAATAATATAAAATGACACCTGCCCAAACTGCAACCCAAAACCCACTTATGCATCGTCAAGTGCCGGGTGGGTGTGGCCCATTGGGTGGGCATGGGTGGGACTAAAAAGTTCAATCAATCAATTCCAACTTTGCAAGATCTCCTCTCCCCCCCCCCAGATTGAACTGTACACGGCGGCAGAGGCCTAAAGCAAAAAGGTTTTATAAAACCCAGCTGCTTGTGCCCACAGAGAGGACTCTGAGTGCCGCCTCTGGCACCCGTGTCATAGGTTCGCCACCACTGCTCTAGCTGCTTCCTAGTAGGCGCAGGGTTGGAACTGCCTTAACTGCCAGTGTCTTCAACCCGCCTCACCCGTTACCCAAAGAGGCTGAGATGGAAGGGTTAAGCAGCGCCTTTAGGGATAG